ATTTAATAACATCTAGCTTCATATAACTAGTAAGTTTTCATTTGTTGTGGATCGAGTTACTATAGAGCAACTATCATTTGTGACAACTTTTATTTGCAATTTGTCATTTGAAATCTGCAGTATGCGACAATAAATACACAATTAAATAAATAGTTCAGGATGAGAAATATTTGCGAGTAAGATTTAGTAATATGTGGATATTTCTTGCATGCAAATAAGATTTGGTTTACAGTTTTCTGAAGAGTCATGTACATTTCCGATACCTCTGTAAGCTGTGTAAATTGGGCCTCCCGGAACTGTGACAGGGCGTACGTGTTCCCCTTCTCCACCTTACACAGACCCATATCACTGATACGATGACACATCTCACGTACGTTAAGCAGGGCAGGTCTCAAAGACTGAAAAAACATGTTTAAATTGTAAAATACAGAGTGATATGGCTTAGCTCTACTGAAAGCCTGAAAACATTAAATGTAGATCTGAATTTTACACATCTGATTGAAATCCAAAGTAATCATTACTTATTCAAAATTAAAATATTTAGTGAATGTCCATTCAAACATAATCTCAAATAGGCAAGCAGGTCTCATAAACTCAAAAACTAACTAAAGAGTAAATAAAATATAATTAATAGCTCAACTGTAAGCTTGATTTAACATCTTTCAGTTGTGAATAGTTCCTGACAACAAAACTGATAACCTCTTTAATAATTACAATGTAAATACAAACACTGACCGGGTTAACAATAAACAGATTTTCATTGAGTGCTTTGGTACACTCTGTTATCTTCTTTGTTCTGACATTCTTCCTCCAGACATTAAATGCCTTCCATTTTCTAAACAGTGCAAAAGTCTTGATCTGGAAAAGACGTAAAAGATGGAATATCCCGGTATTTTGTTTGAGAACAGAATAAGTAACTGCTTAATCTAAAATATAAATGCTATACTTCCATGCTCTCAGATATATCAAAATATGAAAGTCAAAATAAGTTGAAGAATTCTTAATTAGTACGAATAATACATGTATTTAATGATTACAAAATATCAAGTATAAATCTACAATACTTTCAAGCATGTAGACAAAAGACACTTGAATCATATGCTGCACTGGTCCAAATACAGTTGAACTTTAATTGTAATTTTGGACATTGATATCTGGAATACCATGGATAGGTTGAAGTGATTTTGAAGTCCAAAACACTTATTCTTTAAGTATTTTACCCTCAATAACTCAAATCCTGAGATATCTCGAAGTTTTTCCTCAGTCCCATTCAGTTCGAGATAACCAGCATTTACTGTACTTTAAAATTGTGTCCTGTATTTACAAAAAACGTAGTTCCTTAATTTATTTACAGACATCGCTGACCTTGATAATTTTTTTGAAGTAGTTGTACTCCTGTTCCCAGCGATCCAGGGTCACAAACTCTGTCTCGTCATCATTACGCATTCTCGTCACGCCCTCCTGGCTGATCGTACAGTAGTCTGTGTGGTTGATGTTTTGGTGGTTCACCACCCTGAAAAAAAAAAGACAGTGTTTAAAGGAAACTCCTTTGTGCATTTATCAAATGTTCCTATGATCTGATGGACAACATTAAAAAAATTGAATCTCATTGGTCTCCAATTAGGACATTTTTTCTGGTGTTGCTTTATTATCTGATGAATTAAGTTTAAGAATTTTTAACATTATCATTCATGATAAATTCATAGCTTAAATACTTAAATTGTCTACATATATATACATAAGAATTGAAGCACGCAATTGTCAAATCATAAGATGTTCCGTTGTGAACAACATCGCCATCCAAGTCCGAGACAACTTTCTGCATGAAAAATGGCCTCAACAATACATGTACATGTACTTACATTGTGTGTAAGGTGGGGGGGTTGAGGGATGCTGCTGATGTCCCACTATATTGGATCAGCACAGATAACAGATACTGAGTTGTAACAAGTCTGGTACTTACCTGAGATTGTAATAGTGATATTTGACTGAGGATTTCGGTACATTTGGACTCAGATATAAGAATCCGATTCTCTTGTCTTCCTTTATCAGTCTGATGATTTCATCAGCATCATTCAGCCCTTCATGGGTCTCAGCAACTGAAATATGAAAAAAAAATAGGGTTAATAAATATGTCAAAATTATGATCAAACCTGAGAAATATTGAGAGAATCTTTTAGGTTTTTGACAATCTTTAAAAATTTAGCACTCAGAAATAAAAACGAGTCCACGGTTTCAAAGAAACCACACTTGTCATACATGTAATAATAAGTTCTTGTTTTTCACATATTTGTACTCCATGTAAAATGTTGCATTCAGAATTTTTGCCGCATAGCTAATGTGCAAATGTTGCACAAAAATCATGGATGCAGCAAATGTGCATAAATCATCAATACATATGTCTCATGCATTGCTATACATGTATTGCAAAATGCAAATTAAAACAATTTGGTAATGCTTAAAACAAATAAACAAGCACACTTGCTTTTTTTTTCTTTAACCAAAATTTGGAACAGAAAACTCAAGTAAAACATATTTAAATCTCTGTAAAAATTCTGAACTTTAAAGATGTGAAATATTTTCTTTAATAATCAATATGTATCTTCAAAAATTGCTTTCTTGCTTGATCTATTCCAAACTTATCAATACATGATTGTAATAAAAGTCTTAATATAGGTTCCAAGACTGAAATAAGTTTAAGCAATTTTGTCTTGAAATTTTCAGGAACATTTTTCACATCTTTTCAATCCAAACATAAATTTATTCATTTAAGCATGTGCTACCTTTTTCCAAGATAATGGAAAGTCAAAAAATTTTCATTCGTATTTCATACTCACGGAATAATGGTAATTTGAATTTTTCATATAGAGCTAAAGAGTCTGAAAGTCATTTATGTCTTAATTGTAAGTTTCTGTTCATGAAATAAAATAATCTATATAAGATATGAACATTTCTCTTATCTGTATCTCTGGAAGCAACATTTAGTTCAACATAATTTTTGTGCAATTTCATCCTTAAAGTTACCTTTTATAATAACATAACTATGCACATTACTTTGTGAATTCCTAAATACAGTTTTGAGCAACAATTTAACCCTAAAAGTTACATTTTATAATAACATAGCTATGCACATTACTTTGTGAATTCCTAAATACAGTTTTGAGCTACATTGTTTGTATGATATATTTTTGGTGCTTCTTTTTTTTCTGAAACCAAGCACTTACTTTTGGCTTTTGTTGATGCTGGCATTTTGGGACCAGATGTGTGTGCTTTACCCCGAGGTGAGATAGGCTTGGGCTCTGATGGGGGTGTAGGCACTCGTAAAACCATGGAATCCTGGTTTCAAAATTTTAAAAAATTATTGAACAATGCTTATTAATCAAACAACTGAGTAGCAGGCAAACACAATTACTGGGGGTTAATTTTCAATAGTCATGGGGATAACCATAATGTAAGAATAAAAAAAAATGCATTTCTAACAACTTGACGAAACAAAATTTATCAAAAATTCTGACCTGTTTTTGTTGGAGGTCACCAGGTAATTCTGGGAGGGGGGACTCGGATTTGTCCATTGGTTCTACAGAACCAGCCCTTTTCATCTTCTTGGCTGTAGGTTCATCCTTCTTGAACATTCCCTGGGACTCCAACCTTATTCTATTCTGATTCTGAATGTAAGTTGGATGATTTCTCTCTTGGTATTTTTGTAAACTTGGCTGAAATTGAAATAAAAGTGTTGCTTTTTATTCCAGTCTTAATCTTACAATGTACATATATTCAGTACTTCTGAGGTAGCATATCATGTGTTCATGGATAATGCTAAAGCTTTGATTACACCACAATATCACAATATTAGAGGGATGCATTTAATAAGTTTAGATTAAATTTTATTTCGTCATGTTGAAAACATTTACATGTGATTTAACACAAAATACAGCTTTCGGTAAATGATCCTGTTGCAATCAAAGAATAAGTATATACCACAGGTTCCAATTTTGGTCCAATGGGAGCAAAACTTTTCCTCATTTGGGTTTGTGTGACTCTATTGAATCGAAGAGCCTTTGTATTCACTGCCGCTTGCTGTGGAGCAAAGGAGATGAGTCGGGATTTAAGAGATTCTGGGTCTATACCCCTCAATCCCATGGGCTGACTAGCTGCCATTTGATCATTATCTGTTGCTCCATTCATCCCTGATCCATTCATGTTTGCAGCATCATTCATACTCCTGTGTACACCATTTGTTTGTCTGTAGGCCATTTTGTAACCTATAAAACAATGTCAAATCACTCAATTGTATTTAAATCACATAAAAACAAATTCTGGTTATATATGAAAGTATAAATTTTCATTGACATCTACCATTGTCAACTTTTCTATACAATTATAAATAAAAATAGATCTAGAATGCAGTATAGATCTTGATCGTTCCATTAACCTTAAAAACAAACAGTGAAAAATCCAGAAGAAATGAATAGCAAAAATGACAAACAAAAACGCAGTTACCAATTACTCATACTAGTGTTACAAAATTTAACACGACCCCCTGTCCTGTATAATCTGTTTGAATTTTTGGCAGACATTCAATTATTGCACACAAAACAATAAATTCAAAGGAAAAAGAGATGAAAAACATTAAGTTTTCTTAACATTTTATAAATACCTTTTCTATTATCTCCACGTTTATTCAAAATCTATATGAATTGCTGTCTAAAACAGCTTGTATTTACTGCATTTTGGCCACCTAATCAAAAGTAGATACACTTTTTGGCGGCCATGTTGCTTACACATTGCTTGGCAACACGGTAGGTTTCGCTACTTTTAAAGAAAAAAAAAATGAATACATATACAGAAATTTAGCAAACGCTTTAATTCACAATGAAACAATAACAGGCAAAAAAAAATTGTAAAAAAAAAAAAAGAAGATATAATGTCTTCTCGCAGTAACGAGAACAAGTATATTTATTTTTAGATTTATTGACAAGGTGAAGGTCAATTGGATTCTTGACGAAGAGTGAGACGTACGGTGCAGTGAAAAGAAGTGAATAAAAGGTGAATTTTTTACATTTACTTTGGTAAAACAAATGTTTCCAGACTAAAAATATCAAAACTAAATTTATGATATTCATTTACATTAGAATTGTTTATAAAGTAGAGTTTATTGAAGAAAATTTTAATGCCGACCTGTCCCGGCCCAGACTAACGTTAGACCTTTGAGCAAGCCTGATGTTTATTCTGACTCATTTTTACTAAACAATCGCTTACTGAGTGAGATAATCTACTGTGTATTGTTGCTTCAGTATAGTATAGGAAAACGAGATTGTTTTGCTGTTTTCTGACAATTTATTTTTAGTTAAGTCATTAATTAGGAGGGCTTATTATTATTAATTATTTACATCATAGGACCTTAGATGCTTGTTTCATTCTCTCTCTCTCATTATGAAGAGGAGGAGGACCATGTATATATGTTACTACAAACTCAATCTTCTCTCTTTGATGTTTTGTACTCCTACAAAATAATGTACAGCTTATGTCAAGACCACAGACTTCCCAGTGTTTCCGCTGACTCTGAAAACTAAGGGTCATCATGACCTTTTGAACTTTTGGAAGTCAAAGAGAATTTTTGAGGGTCAAAATATATTCTTATTTTGCTTTCAGATGTTATACTAGGTATGATTCCTTTCATCATAATTTAATGTTTAAAAATATGAAAGTAAAAAATATAATTGAACTTGTTTTATTTACACATTCTACCAATTCCGCCATATTGGTTACAGTACGTCTTTCAAGAGGCAACATCTAAAAGTTCTTTGAACGTTTTGCAAAACTGTTCATTAATTATTTGAATTTCGCTGACCTTATTCTTACTATCTTCAGTCTTTTTTACAAAGCCAAAACTGAAATAAATATGCAGATGTCAGACATGATTTCTTTTAAATTCGGACTTCCAGTTTTGTTAAAAATTGGATAGATCATTTGAAAATTTAAATAGATTGTTGATATGCTAAAATTCTAGCTCGTAGGAGTTTACGTCTGTTTGAACGAGACTCACTCCAAGCACTGTCACTTGGAAATTAAAGCAACAGTTTATTCCTAGAATTTTTGAATGCAGATTATTAAACTGGTTCCATCCAGGCAACAACATGGAACTTTTTAATATTGGTTTCCGTATTTTTCTTGCATCATGATGACCCTTTGGGTGATGAATTAGGGGGTATAAGGTATTTTTTATGCATAAATTACGCAGAAATTTGCGTTAACAAAACACTGCCTACAGACTAAATTTAGAGGTTTTTATTTCAATACTGCATTATAATTATTTATTCAAGATTTTTTTCTAACCATTGGGAACTACAAATGTTTGTTTTTTTTTTTTATTTTTTACAAAGAGAAAAGAAAGATGTAGGTCCATATCCCCTCTAGTCTTAATGGTTGTACAGTGGATTCCAAAACTAAAATTCTTGCTTTGAATCAGAATGTGCTCCATTAAATACAATTTAATGATAAGTATGTCAGAAGAATCATCAATAAATGTTATTTTGATCTATTTTCCAACTCAACGTTTAATAATTATCAACACATAGTGAACTATTGATTACAATATGCATTGTTTCAAAAGTTTATTTAGCTTTTAAATGTATATAAATTTTTAGGGGAGGGGGTAATATAAAGAGAATCATAACTTCTACCATTCATAAACATTATGTAAAAATTTGCTGAATAAATATAAATAATAATAATCAGTCATACTAGGACATGAGTGTAATGATGCATTGGTATATATATAATGATAAATAAATTATGTAGACTTACCGAGATGAAGCAAAAGTTACGGCCCTTTAGCTATCCTGTAACATGTTTATAAACATATTAAATTCATCTTATCAGATAAGTATGTAGTAACACCAAAAGTGAAATTCTTCACTGTTTGTTCAGCTATTACTCACAAACAGGTGTAAACATTTATAGAAGTCAGTGGTATTAAAAGTGACCATAATATTTGTACAGGTCAGGACAGTGTGATTTACATGTGCACAGAACTTTAAGTGGAACGTAAAACTTCAACAGGCCTTAAAATCAGGTTAGTGGGTAGTGGTTACAAGCATTGTGTTCTGCATGTTTTTTTTTATTTTAACTCGAAAATATATATATATATATTAATTTTGAAAAAAAACAAGAGATATGATAAATTTATCACTTGTTTTATTCAACATAACCTGCATACAATACAGTGTAAAAGCTCTCTTCAAATTTCCTTCTGATGCAGTTGGGTAAATTAACTATAAATTTAGCAATGCGGAAAAAGTGTTTTTTGCACAATTTTAGGCTACATTTGTATTAACATGGAGTTGCTTGGTGATAAAATACATGTACATGCACACAACAGGCCTGCTAATATATTGGGTTTCACCAGATGGTTTGTGTTACATACAGCACAGTAAGATAACATCTAAGAGTTTCCAGCACTTAATTAGTTGTTTACATCATATGCAGCCTTTTGAGAGGTGCTATATACATGAATATACATGGTGTATGTAATACAAATATGAAGATTCATTGCCATTTCTGTATTAAGTATTTTTTTTATGGGATTTTATTAGAATTTCCTTGTTAAACACTAGATTTTTCTAAGTGAAAAGAGAGTAATCCACTTAATTAATCAATAATTTTTAATTATAATTACATATTTAACACTTTTACATATTTTTAGGAGACAAGGCTTTAATTTTGTAGACTTGCATTTGTAATATAAAAGGCTAAATATTAAACTCTTTAAAGTAAAATAAAATAGAAAATGCTTTTATTGATCAGAGTTGTAGAATTTTTTTTCTAAAATCACTGTCAGATAAGTTAGAAGTTCTATCAGACCAGATAAAATTATGTCAGACCAGATACATCATTACTGTGCATGAATCTTATTTATTTACAGAAAATAAAATTTCTAACAGTAAACTTCAACAAAATGCCTTTTCATTGTTTTCAACAGCATTCCATCTCAGAGAAACCTAAATAACGCGATTTATGTCTATGCTGTCATAAATTTAATCAAGCACCATCACTGCAAAGCCATATTTGTTTGTTTGTTTGTTTGTTTGTTTTTTTTTTGTTTTGTTTTGTTTTGTTTTTTTGCCTCTTACCTATGCATCTGGATCCTGATCTTTTAAAAATTTGCATCACACCATTTTTTTTTCCCAAACAACAGTCTGACATTTGGACCAATGTTTTTTTTTAATAAGCTATTCATCCAGACGATTTCTTACTGGCTTTGCCTACAGGACCAACAGTTTTTGACAACTGCTTATGATAACATTGAAATTTAAAGCATTTTTAGAACACAGATTAGTTTATAATTTCTTGATTTTTAAGGTAGCTAGCTCTTATTTTCAGAGATGGATTCAAAAGAGACAGATGGGAAAAATGCACAGGTTTTCATTGTAGATTTTATAGAGCAGTGCATTTACTTTGTAGATTTTAGAAAACAATTTATTATGTCAATGAATGGATAGAGATAAAAGAAAAGATTTGACTTAAAAACTTTGTCTAAAATTTTGAAAGACCACCTTTTACTCTCCTTTAATTATTAAAACTGAATGAAAAAGAAATGGTCATGTATGATAATCAATTGCTGTCATGTACTTTTTTGAAATTTGGAAATTCTCAGACAGAAGGACGACTTAGGACGTACAGCTGGACAGACAGACAGACAAGTAGCAAACAAAACAATTTATTTATGTTTGTTATGCTCAGACTAGAACATAAAGATGAAGAAAAAAAATGGTCACATTGACTTATCGTGTTCTATGTAAGATACGGAGAGTTTCACCAAAAACTGTCCACGAGTTATAGTCATGTATAAATTTACATAGTGCATTTAATTTATAGTACTTTTTATAATACATAATGATATATGTAGCTGAACATGAATACACATCCAGGAACAAAATCCTAAGCCTATGAATGTTAGCTTTTTTTATCCCAGCTATAAACACATGTTTGATGAGAATGTTATCTCACTACTATAGCTGTATATGTAGTACATATGTACTTAGAGAATTATAAATTAATGTTTGCTGATATTTGTAGAAAAAATAATAGGTTTTTAAAATCTAGAGAGAAATAACTGTTCCAGAATTTACGGAATATTCTAAGACTTGCTTATACATTGTTTTATATATTCTCTAGTGTGGCGCTGTATTCAAAGCATATTAACAAACACACATAAATTACTCCTTTATAACTACTTGTGAATAATAAACAGTTTTTGATCTTTTTAATCTGATGAGTCAGTTACTTATAACAGCCAAGATAAACAGGCTTTGTATCCACAGGTATTTAAACCCAAAATAGGAGCTTAAACCTATTGAACAGTTAAGTGAACATAGGTTTACTTTGAAAAATGGGGGCAGTCATTTTTAAAACTGGAGTAGGAATAATATTTCTTAAGCCTTTGTTAGCTAGATGATTACTCGCAGAATATTTTGAGTATAATGTATTTTTGTAGTAAGTTTGTCCGATTTTCATGTACATTATTTAAAAGGGATTTCTTTGTTTTATAGCAGAGATTTTAAAGGGATATACATATCACTAGCATATCATGCCCCAATTTTCCCCCTTTTGGAAAAAAAATCCCATTTTGAAGAGAAGACCTGTATAAATCTGAATATTTGCTTTTTATCAAATTAGTTAAATCACACTTAAACGATGAATCTAGGAAATCCATCATAGAATAATAACACTACACATTTTTTTAACTAGTTGGCATTGTATTAGTGGAATAGTTAAACTAAATATTTGTTGAATTCCCAATTAACAAGTTTAGAACATTTCAGTAAAGTTCTTGATCTAAACCACGGGTACTGGAAGTTAATGTAAATATTGAGGATGTGCATGTGTAAATTTTTATACATGCGCATCCTCAATATTTACATTAACTTCCATTACCTGTGATCTGAACACCATGTACTGGGTATTTATTAAATTGATTGAAGGTCGGCTGGGGTTTTTACTTTGAAAATAGAATAAATGGAATGAAGATGCAAAAAAAAAAAGATGAATTGAAATAGAATTATTTGTATTTTGGATATTGTACAAGAACACACCCTCAATGTTGGCCACATGTTGTGTGTTATCTATGGAGTCTGCCAGACATTCCTCTCTATAAATAGATCTAGCTGTATGTATTACAGGTCATCAGCTGGTTTATGGCGTATACATCAAACAGCTGCTGTATCATAGTTTACTTGCTCTGAATGAAGAAACCTGGTACTTACATTGTGCCATGATTTAATTAAAAGATTATAAGAGTTTAATCCCTTTTCTGTCTGTAAATATATTTCAGTTGTAGACATGATACTATATACAGTGTACTCATATTATTAGTATTGATGAATAAAGCAGTTAGGTATATCCAAGTGGTATATGTACTAAGACTAGTATTAAAGGTGTCATACATGTAATATGGAATAGAGTGTAGCTACTAGCATAAATTTACTATGAGATGTATATAGATACATGTATATCTAGATTATGAATTATATACTTTGAAAAGGGTAAAACTGATATTTAGCTGTGCATTAGACCAATTTATTAGATGTATGTACAGCCCAAACAGATATTATAATTTGTAATCATGAGTTAGTCATCCCAATGGTATGTGTATTTTAATGCCTTCAAGTGTCAATAATGTTCATCAGCAAGTTTGACAACTGTATATATGAATGAAAATTTAGATAAAGGGAAACTTAGATGCATCATACATACAGTTTTATTTAATGAACAGGTAGTTAATCGTTTTAAATATGGGTTAGCTATTTTATGCTACTATTCAATTGTTGAGAAAAATGAAAGTCTTAAAAAATGATTTTCATGGAATTTATTTCATTTCAAAACCGAATCTTAAAATATAAACTGAATACTTAAATAGTGTTGTATGTATTTCATAAATATTGTAAAATTTTATATTTCTTAATTCGGATCATGTCCATAGAGAAATGTACAAGACATATTTGAAAAACTATATTGAAATAAATCTAAGAATTATAGCAAATAATAATGAGTGGTTCTGTGACAATACACATCTAGTATATAGTAATTAAAACATGAAACTCATTGTCATCTGTACATTTATACAGAAATTTTGTGATTAATATGTTACTATGATAACTGTTGTATAATTGTAGTCAGCTGACAATATGGAGGTCCCCAGTCTGAAGCCCGTCCATGATGTCCCCGAAATTGACCTCGATGACATTGACAAACTCCTGGAATCCCTGTCCCCAGAGGAGCTGGAAGAGCTGAATGGGAACTTTGACCCAGATGTGAGTTTGTTAAGGTTGAATGGGAACTTTGATCCCAATGTGTCTGAGTTTGTTAAGATTAAATTGAATGGGAACTTAGACCCAGATGTGAGTTTTGTTAAGGTTGAATAGGAACTTTGATCCAGATGTGAGTTTGTTAAGGTTGAATGGGAACTTTGATCCAGATGTGAGTTTGTTAAGGTTGAATGGGAACTTTGATCCAAATGTGAGTTTGTTAAGTCTTAGATTAGATTGAATGGGAACTTTGACCCAGATGTGAGTTTGTTAAGGTTGAATGGGAACTTAAAATGATCCCCATGTGAGATAAATGTTAGGGTTGAATGGGAACTTTGACCTAGCTGTGAGTTTGTTAAGGAATTATTTTGAGACATCCAGGTGTAAATTGAATGATTATTACAGCATGGACTCTTAGTCTGGATTTAAGGGCATTAATTTCATAAATTGGGAGAGAGCTCTTTCCTTATCAGCTATCATCATCATTATGATCATCATCATAATAAACATCAGCTATCATCATGCAGAAAGTTAAACAATGATGAGGTTTAGGAATTCTGTACTTGTTTCATCAGTATTGTCACTATAGCACATGTATTAGTAAATGTAATAAAACAGAATAGATCAGTTATGAGAAGAAAAAAAATTAACTTCTGTAATTCAGTAAATATTTTCTAGCAAGGTAAATCTGTCAAAACATACCTTCTGTGCAGCAGAAAAAGGTATATTTTCTTTGTCTCAAACATAATGTTTACTATTCAAAAATATGCTATGTAATTTGTGCCCCTTTTTCACAGAATTCCTTACTTCCCCCTAGTCAGCGTATGAAGAACCAGACCTCTAAGGCACCGACTGGGCCGTTCCAGAGACAGAAACTGCTCCAGTTCCTGGAGAAGAAGGCTAAGGAAGAAAAAGACTGGGAACAAAATAAACCTTTTGTCAAGGAAATCAGAGGTCAGTATAGGTCAAAGGTTAAAAGGAGATCAGAGGTCAGTATAGTTCAAAGGTTAAAAAGGAGATCAGAGGTCAGTATAGGTCAAAAGTTAAAAGGGAGATCAGAGGTCAGTATAGGTAAAAGGTTAAAAAGGAAATCAGAGCTCAGTATAGGTGAAAGATTAAAAAGGAAATCAGAGGTCACTTTAGGTCAAAGGCTGAAGGTTGTTATAAATGATTTCGATATTTTTAGCGAAGATGTTGAGATCACTAAAATTGAATATTACTAGCAATTCATTCCACATCGGAGATTTCCGTTATCTTCTAGGCATCATCAAATGGCTAAATTTTTGCTCAAAATTCCACTTACACTCTATTTAATTTTAATATCTCAAACATTGAGATGTTTATTATTGGTGAATGTGTCATAGTGAATCAGTGATCCTGACCTTATCCAACATTACAATATTTACTTTAATAATAACACAAACAACTGGATGTCTTTGATATAGTTCCAACATATTCAAGATATCAAGGACCAACTACAGCTTAGAGAATTACTGTACATATTTGTATGGGTCAGATTTTTGTGGTTTGAGAGAAAAAAAAATACTGGTTCATCCCAATTTGAGAAAAAAAAAAAGAAGGTTTATGGGGATTTATTTTTGTGGATGAAGAAGTGTTAGTTATAAGGCATTTGAAATTGTACATATCGTTGAGGACACGAATTCGTGGGTTTCGTCATACCACAAAAACAATGAGAATTAACAATCCCCCCCTGAAAAGTAGTGATTTCACAGTATATGATATATTAATTACCCAGGAAAAATCTGGAAACCGAAGGAGGAACCCAAAACTAAGGAGGAGGAGAGCATTGATACAGAGTGGGACGACATCCTGACCCAGGCCTCAGAGGAGGAGCTGGTAGACCTCGCCGCGGTGCTGGGGTTCCACGGAATGCTGAACCAGACTCAGTACTATGCCGGACTGGAGAACACGAAGATTGACGGTGGCGGATTTCAGGGTAAACGACAGATTTTCTGGGTGTTTTGAATTTTTTTTTTTTTTTAAATGAGCCAGTCTAATTTTAAAGCTATGTTCCAAAATGTACAGATTTTAGCTAGAATTTCAGATTTTTGGTTTAATAGTGAAAATTCTTTCTACACTGGGTCAAACTATGAATGTGAATTTCTATTTAGTTTTTAGATGGCCTGAGTAAAGCCACTTGTCTTATAATAGTAAATAGATGCAGACTTGAAAACAGAAGTGTCTTTGCTCAAGATTAATTTAAATGTAGATTAAAGTGTTTAAGCTTGAAAATGAGTTTCTAGCAATTACTAAAGACAAAAAATAAAACCAACAAATAAAGTAAATTCTAGAAGACTACATCATATTACATACAGAGTGTTTCATGATATATGTTACATTTTTAAAGCTAAGTATTTTTTTTTACCTATGATCATATTTCTAATACAAACCATATATCATTTTAATCATGAAATACTGCATTTTTATTTTTGTTAAAAAATCAAATAACTCATAGTATCATAAAGTTTAATTGTGACATAAATGTCATAATTTTAATATTTTTCAAAGTAGATATAAATTGTCAACGTATTGCTGAATTGTAAAGCTGTTTTATCATTACAAAGTATGAAATTCATTTAGAAGTTGATGAAAGAAAATATTACAAAAGAAAAGAAACCATATAAGATGGTTATCAGAATGCTAGTAGTTTGTCAGGATAGAGACGGGATATACAACAAATTATGGCTGTTCAGTAGTGTTATTCAGATGTCTGTATATACGTGTTTTAGGAGTTGCCAAAGCCCAGGAGTTGATCAAGGTCCCAGACGAGCCTCCCAACACCACAGATGTGGAGGAGAGTCTACAGAAACTAAAGGACAACGACCCAAAACTGAAACACCTCAACCTCAACAATATCAAGGTCAGTAAAGACCTCATCCTTAACAATATTAAGGTCGGTAAACACCTAAACCTCAAAAATATCAAGGTCAGTCAACATCTCAACCTCAAATATCAAGGTCAGTCAACACCTCAACCTCAATTGTCCTCAAACATATTAAGGTCAGTCAACACCACAACCTCAACAGTATGAAGGTCAGTTAACCTCTCAACCTCAATAGTCCTCAAACGTATTAAGGTCAGTAAACACCACAACCTCAAATATCTAGGTAAGTACATACCTCAACCTTAACAATATCAAGGTCAGTAAACACCTCAACTTCAACAATATCAAGGTCAGTGAACTCAGTGTCAACAATATCATGGTCAGTTAACACCTCAAACTCAACAGTATCAAGGTCAGTTTCAAACACCTTAACAATATCAAGGTCAGTCTCTTATTCAGGTTAACACCTTAACGTCAATGTTATCAAGGTCAGTCTCATACATGTGTCATTGAATGTAAGGTTATCTGTAAATGCATTGAAATTAATATGTGTAATACAGTGAGACCTGTCTAATCCAACACTCCCTGCTACACAAATTTTTGATTTTATTCAAATCAGTGTATGGCATGTTGAGGGAACATTCATATCAACTTTGTTGACTGTTAATTTACATCAGTGTAAGATTATTCCTCAAAATAAGTAAATTCAGCTGGAATGTGCAAATGATTGTTAAAAAAAAAAAGAAAGAAAACAGTGTCATTCTTTCATAAGATTTGTAGCCGCTTGGTGAATTTTTGTACAATTGAGATTTTAAAAAATCAATGTGATTATTAAATTAAAGCATTTGTTTATTTAGAATATTTCGGTGGAGAGGTTGATAGAGATTTGTGATGCTCTGAAAACAAACACAGTCCTGGAAAATCTGGAGATGGCTAGTGTTAATATGACAGACAAAGTTGCCAAGGTAATATAAAATAAACTTTTCAGTAAACATTGCATTATAGAAATTACCAAACATGGAACCATTTTTCAAGATGCCTGATTTATCTATAAATGTGGCCAGGGGATGTTGATGTTGGGGATATTTTGAATGGATTTACAAATATAAGCATGCTTTGAGGATTCAAATGACATTATCATGGTAATAGCAATTTTTTCTTTTGAATTTGAATGCTAATTAAATAATTGTATATTCTAAGTGTGTGTTTATCTATTAAAATTTGAAAATTAAAAATTTTAGCATCTAAGTTTCATAAACACTTCAGAAGTATTATTGTCAAGCAAATGCTTGAATGATTACATCTAGAATGCTTTGTAATGGCAGCTTAGTTAAAGTAATTAAAGCTATTGATTTTTTTTTCTTTTGTTTTTTGTTTTTTTTTTGTTTTACTTTAATCACTTTATTCTGCATTGTCAAATCTGTGAATCTTAATTAGAAGGCCAAATTTTACTGACAAATGTCATCTGAAATACTGAAAAACAACAAAAGTGGTTAACAGGTCAAAGTTGCATGTGTTAGCTGAGTTTTCTTATCTTTCATTGCATGTTTTCAACACAACATTTAGATTGTGAATAATAAAGGACTATATTCGATAATGACCAATATACCAAAATATGCTTTTAAGAATATAGTTCTTTTAATTTCTAGTGTTAAATTGTTCTGCATTTTTCAGAAATTAGCAGAGGCCTTGTCAGAAAATAAAACCCTGAAAGTGTTAAATGTGGAGTCCAATTTCATTAGCGGGGAATCCATAGTAGAACTTATGAAAGCTATCAATAAGAACCAAACACTTCAGGAGCTTAGAGTAGCCAATCAGGTAAGAGAAAAACTCTAAACTACCAATCAGATTGTAGAAATTAAGCTTTCAATATAAAGAAAACATTTAAGGAGCTCTATAGAGCTATATATATATATAAGTAGCCAATCAGATAAAAGAACAGAAAGACTGATTGATATTATTTAACGCCGAGTCGGCAATATTTCAGCCATATATCGGCGGTCAACAGAGTCAATATAAGATGATTATGATATCAAAATAGAAAATCAGGTACAGGATGTTTCAGAAAACATGCAACCATTTTGATTGATTAAATTTTACTGGTGTTTCAATCAATACCATGCACCAACATATCAAATTAAAAGTCACAAGCTCAAGATTTATTCTAATGAAAATAAAGTTAATATGTCAAATAGATAATGAATTACAAAAGAAAAAAGAAACTTGTAAAGTTTCACTTGGTTACAAAATATGTCCTAAATGGCGTCATTTTTGCTGAATGAATAAATCTATCCGATGCAAGAAAGTTCTCATTACTATTGCAGAGAGTCTCTTGGTAATGAATCAGGTATCATTTTTCGCACCATTTTGAGTTCATTTGTTTTTGGGGGTGTATTTTAAAAACTTTGACCTTTAAATATCCCCACAGATAAAAGTCAAGGGGTGTTAAGTCAGGTGAGTGTGGAGACCAAATTTAACGGATTTGAAAGAGTTGAATGGTCCTCCAAACACTTGTTCTAACAAGTCCAAGGTTTAAGACTCAAAACATATTTCAGCATCTGATCTACACTTGACTTGCTCAATTTGTTCACAGACTCTGTTATTTTACAAAAGGATTTCATGTGAGTCTCTGGAACAATGCCTCTTTTGTAACATTCTAAATGTTTTCATGTGTTCTAATTGTCTTTTTCTTCAATTTTTTTCTTTAAATTTCTTTAATCATGCATTAACTCTTCCATTAGTTGCAAAATTTTACAGATTTATACAACTTCCACTTTATATTACTATTTATTTAGTAAGTTCTTTGCATTCTGTAAACGTTATTTTCCTTGTCCTAATCACAGGAACTAGTGACATGCTCTGATAAAGCAGTATCAGAACTCCTGATGATTGCTTTTTATTAAATTCCACATTAAGAATGAAATTATCTGTTTTTTCAGTGATGTCAAATATGATGTCATAATTAATTCAAATGGTAATTTTTTTTCTAAATTTTTGTTATTAATAAAAACTTTAACCTTTTTAGCATAATTTTATATAAAATGTCCGTATGTTCATGTTTGCATATGAATAAAGTGAGGAAAGTATATGGTTGCATGTTTTCTGAAACACCCTGTATTGGAGATATTTTAAAGACAAAACAAACAATACATAGATTGTTAGCACTCAGGAATTTAATGTGAATGCTTATTTTGAATCCAAAATTTGACTGTCTTTAGTTTAGTTAAAAAATTCTTTTCTTGAAGTCTTGGACTTCTTTTCCAGATCAGACGTGATAGACCAAGAAAGACAACTCTCATTTCTTTGAAAATGATTTGAAAGGCTATTTTTTTCCTCATCATGTTTTACATGTATGTGACACATATTGTGCATCATCTCCACTTTTTGATATTATTTTGTAGAAACCAGAGGTGCTGGGAAACAAGGTCGAGATGGCTCTAGTCAAACTAGTCGGTGAAAACAGTAACTTACTTAGGTTTGGAATTGCTTTAGAATTTCCTGATGCAAGAGTTCGAATCCATGAAAAACTCCAGGAGAACAACGATAATTGTAAGTAATTATGAAGATGTTTCCATAAAAGCTGAAAGAAAACTGATGCATATAGACATTATCTGAGATTATTCTTCAACTTGTGCTTCAAGATGCAATTTAAATACTATGATGCAATACCATTTATTTGAAGAAAAAAAAAGCTGTTTAAATACATGTACTGTAGACATACTTCTTTCTATGGGGTCATAATTCTGTGAAATTAGAATTTCTGTACATGGTTAGAAAAATACGCAGATTTCTTGGATAGTCATTGTGTCTTAAAGGAACTCAGAGTACACAGTGACAAAATTTTTGTGGAAAATTTCTTACTGCATACACAGTAAAAAGTAATCTCTGATGCAGAAAAAAGTATTTCTACAGTATATGAATAAATATTTTTATGCCCCCGGATCGAAAGATCCCAGGGGTATATTGTTTTTGTCCTGTCTGTCTGTTTGTCTGTTTATCTGTTTGTCTGTTTATCTGTTTGTCTGTTTGTCCGTTTGTCTGTTTGTCCGTTTGTCTGTCTGTCTGTTGTCAACTTTAACCTTGCCCATAACTTTTGATTGGTTGGAGCTATGACTTTCATATTTCACATGTATATTCCTTGTGACAAGGCCTTTCTTTGGGTACCATCATATTTGACCTTTTGACCTTGACCTTGGAGTTTGACTTACTTTTGCAAAATTTTATGAGACTTTAACCTTAGCCATAACTTCTGAACAGTTGGTGCTAGGGGTTTCAAACTTCACATGTGTATTCTTTGTGACAAGGCCTTCCTTTGGATACCAACAACTTTGACCTTTTGACCTTGACCTTGGAGTTTGACCTACTTTTGAAAAACTTTAACCTTGGCCATAACTTTTGTACAGTTGGTGCTTAGGGTTTCAAACTTCACATGTGTATTCCTTGTGACAAGACCTTCCTCTGGATATCAACCACTTTGACCCTTTGACCTTGACCTAGGAGTTTGACCTACTTTTGAAAAACTTTAACCTTGGCCATAACTTTTGAATGGTTGGAGCTAGGGCTTTCATACTTCACATATGTAATCCTTGCGACAAGACCTTCCTTTGGATACCAACCACCACTATGACCTTTTGACCTTGACCTTGGAGTTTGACCTACTTTTGAAAAACTTTAACCTTGGCCATAACTTTGGAATGGTTGATGCTAGGGCTTTCATACTTCACATATGTAATCCTTGTGACAAGACCTTCCTTTGGATACCAACCTAGTTGACCCTTTGACCTTGACCTAGGAGTTTGACCTACTTTTGAAAAACTTTAACCTTGGCCATAACTTTTGAATGGTTGGTGCTAGGGCTTTCATACTTCACACATGTAATCCTTGTGACAAGATCTTCCTTTGGATACTAACCACTTTGACCTTGACCTTGACGTTTGACTTTTATTCAAAAAACTTTAACCTTCGCCATAACTTCTGAACAGTTGTATCTAGGTCTTTCAAATTTCATAGGTGTATTCCTCGAGACAAGACCTTTCTTTGGGTGTCAACATTTCTTATCTTTTGGCCTGGATTTTGACTTGCATTTGAAGAAACTTTAACCTTCGCCATAAGCTGCCATACGGGGGCATCAGTGTTTCACAAACACATCTTGTTCTAAACTTGTTTTAATAGAAAATGTTTTAAGTGTTACTGACAAGATTTGATCTTTATTTTTCTTTTCAGTGAGAAAGAAGCGAGTTGGAAAGGATTAGTGATGTACAGACATTTTACAGATATTAGACTGACCTTATCTTGTTGCTTAGTTACCTGTCAAATGGTTTTCATGCCTTATTTCACAAAGGAAATGGAATGTTTATAATTCGTGCTTCCAGTACAAGCCAGTTTCTCTTGCAGCATCTAAGATGAAACCCGCAGAAGAGTGCGACTTGATTTCGGCTGGATAGAATGTGGAAAAAGAATCTCTGTAATGAACCATATTTTCTTACAAAAATGAGGAACAGGAAATTTTTGTTTATGTCTTGTGTTTAAGTTTTTGTATGTCATCAGAGCTGCTGCATTTATGAAGATTTTTTGATGTTTGTTTTGCAATAATCATTTAAATGAATATTTGTGATTTAAGTTTTGGTATCTGTAAAATTGACAAATAATGTAACAATCACGGTGGCATTTGTTTTAAAATATTTTACCTTTGTAATATTTAAATGTTATTGTCATTTTTCTGTACATTTTTATACTGCTTATAGTAGCTTTGTTATGAATGTTTTAGAAGTTTTACTTCAGTACTATAAAGTAAATGATGTCATTTAATGGATTTAGTGGGTCTCATTGTATCTTTGTGATATAGAATATAGATAAATAAATCTTATTGCCATATTGCGAGCAATTTAATGACAGCGGAAATATAAAATTTAACTCTCAATAATTATCATAATGAATATAAGTATTTTTGATGTTATGCATTTTAAAATTAATTTAAAGCTCTACATGATCATATATATATATATATGTTTGCATGGGCCTTTTTCAATACAGTATTTATTACCATGAATTCATTAATTTCCAAAGTGGATTAATTTTCATTTGTTTATGGGATACAAAGAGACATCCTTCACAAAATGATAAAATTTTAAACAAAAGTATTCATGTGTCTTCTTAAACCATGAAATAAAGTCCCCAGAAACCAAATGTTTTCCTTTTCCCACAAAAATTTGACTCCCTGAATATAATTGATTTTACAGTTCAATGTATTTTGATATGTCTTTCACTGTAAAAATTATTTTATTTTAATTAAGATGATTTGATTACATCAAAATACCCCCGTGTTATTGCACACTAATTTTTTTACGTACCGGTAAATGGAATTCTATGTCTAATGCATACACATGGGTTAGGAATTATGAGGTATTTTGTAATTCAGTTGACTGATGCTGATATTAGCCTGCACCTAAAAATAAAATTTAATTCAGCTATTTTATTTTGAAAATTTTACCTGGAATGTTACTTGCCCAAAAAAATATTGAATAATATTTATTGTATATGTAGCAGACATTGATTTTCTTTGGTTAATTCTGAATTTCCAAATACTGAAATAATTGTAAGTACTTTGTACTTGTGATTTTTATCACACTCCATGTTCTTGATAGTAAAGTTTGGATATGTCATTTGTATCATGACACTTAGTCTTACTTATGTCCTGAATCTTTTTGTATTGTAGGAGATACAGATGTCCTGAGTCCTGTAGAAGTCAATAGATGTGCAATAATAAAAAATTGAGACCTTTTTCTAATGTTGTTGTTGTTTTATAAAGAAATGCCATGGAATTTTTTAACCCCCTCTATCCCTCAGATTGTCAATCTGTCATTCTTTCACATTAAGTTTTCCAGATTTGTGTTTGCTTTTATTTCTGATGACTTACAGATCAGATTTGACTTAAAGTTAAACATCATTTGGTGTGAAAAAAGGACATTCAGCCAAATTTGTGTATGAAATTTATTAGGTAACTGACACTCCAATACTAATTTTTGCGACATTTTATTTTCCTTTTTTTGTGTATAATTCATGATAAATGGTAATATAGTAAAGGGTATTTCGATGGTTTTATATTGTGTACACGTACTTGCACCAAGTTTCTTTCTCAGATATAAACTTCATTCTTAAGGGCATGAGGTGACAGAAATGACATGCTAAATAAAACCATAATCCATAATTAGTTATCACTTCTGTTTGCAGAATATGATCCAAGAATCAAAGAATGAATAAGATGCATCATAAAATGCTGGAATGAGATGAAAACAGACACATATTTACACTGGAACCAATTATAGCTTACAGCAAGCACAAAAGCAAAGGCGATATGATTATTTGATTACGTTTCCCACAGGAATTCACTGTAAGGTGGACCCCTGATGAGGTGGCCAACAGGGCAATACCCATTATAAAACTGCAGAAACAATCTTTACTATATATAGCTATAATATGAATAACATGTATGTATCAAAGAGGAAACTTTAAAACACTGTTAATGAATTACAACGAAGGGATTTTTATTCCCTGTATAGTAAAGTATATCATATTGATAAAGCATAGAGCGTGTCTTGCTTAACATGTACAGTTACAGTAAATCACGCTTCAAGTGAGTGCTATAGGGTCAAACAATTTTATTACTTATAGATGTTTTGCTATATCTGATACGTTCATCATATGCATGTTATATTTCAAACTTCAATGTTACTACTTTAATGTTCACTAAGATATCAAAGAAAGTTGTGTTGTAATTGAGATTTCATTTTCATATTTTTATTTGTCGAACCATAGACATGTTTCTCGACTTGTTCACCTATCTTCTTTCATCCACTGGAATGTGTATAAGGATGAAAATGTTGAAAGTGTCATTTCTCAGTTTTCAAAAATAAACCATCTACCTAGCTACTGATGGAGGTGAGGTACATATTCAATGCTAAGATATTCCCCGCTTCATTACTATTGAAAAAGCAATAGCATTTTGGACATTTTGCTTGTGTCAAATGGCCTGAAAACTCAGTGACAAGTGATGTTTGGTTGCATACTGGGCATTGGTACTTTGCCCTCTGTAAGCTAATCAAACTTTTCATCAATTTATCAGCAACTTCAGAGCCATGTCGCTTATAGTAGTCTTTTTCATTTTCAGTGAGATCATTTAGTGTCCAGAAAACATCAATGAACTCTAAATTAAGGACATCAGCATTTTGCACCCTAAAAAATCCATTGTCTCCCCATTCTGTTCCCCAGGAATTCATCAAATACAGACACTCACTGTTGAAGCTAGTAAGAACGACTGCATGGCCTCCTAGTTTACCAAATCGGGATTTGCGTAGATCTATTTCATTTCTAGTAAGAACACCTGTTTTGTGTTCTTCATAGAACTTTGAAAATACTTTCCATTCGGCATCAGTAAGACGGAACCTTGCAACCACTGGGCGCTTGGCAGTTATGGCATGCATTGCGCCGATTATGTCAACTTCCTTACAATGTAGCCGGTACTTTGGGCACACATTTTGAAGAACTGCAAGAGTATTTGCTCCCTCTATACCATACAAATCGATTAAATCTTGTCTCAACTCTAAGAAGTCCGGATAACCACCCTCTCGTCCAAGAATTCGTTTCATTGACAGATGAAGTACTGCTGCTGAAGCGTTAGCATAGCACGTACCCCCAACCTGACGTTGTGCACCAAACCCAGTGGTACTTTGGTTGATATAAATGTCTAGCGAAACCGAAACAAGTATATCCGCTAATGCATCTTGACAACAGACTACATTCCGCGCTAGACTACAGGCATCCCTCATGATATCAGGGTGATTCGCCTGCAAAAACAATTTTGTTTCGTTATTTTTTATATCAATCTTCCACCCACGCTTAACGAATATTGTACGTGGCAGCAGCTGAGTTGGAACTTTGGAACTCAGCTTAAACATTAATTTAGCACCGTTGTCCCATTCTCTTTCAATCTCACTATAAAGTCTCTGTGACTCGACTGCTGTTGATCTTGTAATGAAACAGCTCACCACCACTACATTTTCATCCCTCAACTCCCCGAACATTTTTTCATTTCCTTGATCCGTAGGCACTCCATCAGAAAAAACAAACAACAGCTTTTTATGGTTTCTATACCTTGTACTGGAAAACAGTTCTTTCGCCTTTCGCAATGATGTATAAAATGGTGTAAAACCATAAATAATAGGCCTTACTGTATCAATCAACTCCTGCAAACGATTTTCTGTGAGCTCTTCTTCACCAACGCTTCCATGGATTATGTTTGAAGCCTCTTGAACACTAAATATGGATGAACTTATGCTGACATCATTTAGGAGGAAACCCATTGCCTTTCCCACTGCTTCTGTTATATCAGCCTTCGTTGCTGGGCGAACTGTACTGGCTACGGACTCAGCTGTGCCTATCACTCCCTTTGCAAACAAAGAAAATATATCATATCCTCTGAGGGCTACTGGTGTATATCCCTTGCATGCTGGTGGTAAACATTTATCGACGCAAAATGTTACAAAGTTACGGTCAGATTCGAGTTCGCGCAATATTGCAGCCGCCAGGTTATGTGAAATGGCATTCTTGATGACATCAATAGTTGCCCATTTTCTGACAGATGAAGCACCGGCATTCTGAAGTATTTGCAGTAAACGGTCAATAATTTGTCTAAAAGACTCGTAACGAGGCACTGGAATTTGAAACCGTTTTAACGTGCTAAGAATGTCAAAAATTTCATTTTTACAATTGTTTGCTCCATAAGCGATAGCAAACACTTCGTTTGTTTCAGATATATCGTGTTTGATTAGATCGTCAATGACCTAGCTGAAATATTGATCGCACCCAATCACCGCCTCCTTCGTTAACACCTTCTCCAACATTCCACCTCATTGATCCAGAAACATCAACAAGGACGCCAGTTAGTGTGGTAATGTTTTCAGACATCTCGAAATAGTCTGTAAAGAGAAAAAAACCCTTTTTTTCTTATTTTGAACAAAACATATTAAAACTAACATGCAGGCAGTTTATAGTTGGTTTTTTGGTTTGAATATGATAATATGTTAAACTGCAAACAGTGGCAAAGGATTTGAAGCCACCCATCTCGTTCATTTTTTATGCCCCCGTAATCGAAGATTCGGTAGCATATAGTTTTTGCCCTGTCCGTCCGTCTGTCTGTCTGTCTGTTTGTCCGCAAAAACTTTAACCTTGCCCATAACTTTTGATTGGTTGGAGCTATGGCTTTCATATTTCACATGTGTATTCCTTGTGACAAGACCTTCCTTTAGATACCAACAAATCTGACCCTTTGACCTTGACCTTGAAGTTTGACCTACTTTTAAAAAACTTTAACCTTGGCCATATTTTTTGAACAGTTGGTGTTAGAGCTTTCATACTTCACAAGTATATTCCTTGTGACAAGACCTTCCTTTGGATACCAACAATTTTGGCATTGACCTTGGAGTTTGACCTACTCTTAAAAATTTTTAACATTGGCCATAACATTTAAACGTTTGGTTCTAGGGCTTTCACATTTCACGATCATTTGTATCACTTGTGATAAGAACTCCCCTAGGGCACCATTTGACCTTGACTTTGCCGTTTTACTTACTTTGAAAAAATAACTTTTCAACGGTTTGTACTAGGGCTTTCATATTTCACAGGTATTTCCTCGAGACAAGACCTTTCTTTGGGTACCAACATTTTTGATCTCTTGACATGGAGTTTGACTTGCATTCAAGAACTTTAATCTTCGCCATAAGCTGCCATACGGGGGCATCAGTGTTTCACAAACACATCTTGTTTCTTTTCATTTTACATCCAACCACCCTTTAAGTGAGACTAGGTTATACATTTACATGTAGTAATAAAGCTGATGAAATGGAGGCAAAACCTATATCTAAGTCTGTCATCAGGCGGATAACAAATTTGATGTTCTGATCTCCCCATCGAGGCTTCACGATACAAGGAGTACAGCCGTACACCAGATAACCGTGAAAAGAACATAACGTGGAGACGCTATATAGACGTTAAATAGTCTGTTCCTTTTTCAGATTGTTCTTTTAGGGCAAGCCCTTTTACAATATCATAAAATAAAAATTTTCTTTCAATTTCTTTCAATAAGAGAGATATCTCTTTAGCTTTTAGAGATATCTCTTCACCTTTTGGAGATATCTCTTTAACTAAAAGAGATATCTCTTTGACTAGGGGAGATATCTTTATAACCTAGAGAGATATTTTTTTAAACAAAAGAGATATTTCTTTTTGCAAGAGATATCTCTTTTACTTAGAGAGATATCTTTTTAAGCTAGAGAGATATCTCTTTAAGCGAGAGAGATGCCTCATGGAGTTAGAGAGATATCTCTTAAACAACGTTAAAAGAGATATCTTTCTAAGCTTAAGAGATATCTCTTTAGATTTTCAAAAAGAAATATCTTTCTAAGTTAGAAAAATATATCATTTAATGTAAGAGATATATATCTCGTTTCCAGTTATCCTTAAAATGAAATAATTATTTTTCCCCTATATCATACGAAACGAGGCTAGACGCGACATGGCAGGAAGTACATGTGTATCACATATAGCTCTCTGAAATAAATTTGAGAAAAAGACTCAGCATGCCCAACCCAAGAATGAAGTAGCTATATTATTAATTGTGAATTTTTATAGTGCAATATACATCAACATATGCTTAAAAAAATAAATCATAAAAAAAAAACTCGGGAAGCCCTTAATTTATGGGGGGAGGGGGTGTTCCTGTCCCCAA